AGAAGGAACAGGAGTGTGGGTAACCCATGCTAAAAGAGTAACCCATACTAAAAGAAAGGAGAAAAAGGGGTTTTAACAACAACAAAATCATGCAGCATTGCATATGGTAACAAAAAGTACACTTCATTGCAAAAGTAGCAGTAGACAAAAATATTAAGTATTTTTTTAGCGGAAATGGATGACCAGATCAAAATCATGTCAGGGCAAGCCTAGATATCCACATCTTATTTACATTTATACATTTGTATATGTAAATACAGCCGAGGTAGAGCCCTATTGCTAGCTAAATAAATCATCAGAGCAGAGAAATTTCAAAATAGTACCTACCTCTCAGGTTGTTTGCCTGCAAAAACAGGGTTAATATGTGCATTTAGCAATACATCTTTGACTGAAGCACCATCTCCAAAGAGATGATCCTTCACCAAACAGCAATTTAGTCTACATCTAAGAGAAACATTAAGAAACCCATAAGCCTATCTCTAAATTTTGGGCCACCTAGTGGCCAAATCCTGACTCCAGGTCCCTGGCAGTAAGCAGAAAGGCACATCCTAATTATTCTACAAACCTATCTACAGTATTTATACATGTCAGGCACAACAGTGTTTGCCTGCTGCCAGCAAAAAAAATGTCAGTGTACTGAAAAAGAGGTTTGGCTCTGCAGGCCCAGAGTACTAAATCCAGCAGCACACATTGTCTTGGAGAAACACTGAGGAGAAACCTTCCCCCTCCCCACCCTCTTGACATCAACAAGGTCAGGTGGGCCCAATCTCCTCCTTCAGTTTCTCAAACAAAAAAACTTTCTTCCAACCAGGTGGTTGGTCAAACACTCTGACAAGGTCAGAGAAATAGAGCAGAGAGTTCCCTTGGTAGCAAAGTAACGCCTTAGGGCTTTTTATTTCTTGAAAGGTTCACACTGACTGGGAATTAAGCTAATAGACCCATCTCACATAGGATTAGTTCCTGGTGCTGTTAGAAGCTCAACCATAATTATCTGAGTCTGCAACTTGTTTTATATGACCATCAAGCCCCTAAATATTTACAAAGTATGGCGGTTTTGTTTTCCTGCTTTGACGACCACCACCCGATCTCTGTAGATTGCTCTCCCTAGGCTCCACTTACTCTTGATTTGAGAAACCTGGCCCAAAATTTGGGGTAGTAGAGGCCCTGACAGGACCACTCAGATCTCTTGTTTTCCACATCATTCCAAAAGTGCTGTGACCAGGGGCGGACTGCCATTTGGAAACTAGGGCACTGCCCGAGGGCCCGGGGTCAGTAGGGGGCCCCATGAGATGCCCCTGGTATCTTTTTCATAGGCTTTTTTGAGTTTGGGAAAGGACACAGGGGCCCCATGATCCCCTATTGCCCGGGGGCCCCATGAGTTGTCAGTTCGCCCCTGGCTGTGACACATATGGGTATTAAAACCCATATTCTAAAGCCACTTTTGTTAAACTTCACATTGAAAGCGGGAAAACCTTGAGAGCCTACCTATGTTGCCCCTCCCTAAACGGACACAAGACTTGGGTAAATTTACTATGACCCCCTTTATACGCCTGATTTAGTGCCCATTTTTTGTGCCCGAGAGGTCAGTGGTGCTGACTAAGCATGGCTTTCAACAAAAGATCTTTCCAGCTGAAAAACCTGGGCACTCTTTAGCAATAGCTCGGCTGCTTCATTGACCCCTGCCTCATCATGATTACTTGACCCCTCCTGTGACCCCATGGACAATGTCTCTCCAGGCTGTTCTGGGGTATTCACCCAGTCCCACTCAGATGTAAGGGGCGAGCCCCGTTTACCCACCTTCTCCTCTAAATACTCATATTTTCCACCAAACTTTGGGGATCCAGAGTCTGCCCCCCCCTCCCCCCCATTCTGTCATTCCCTGTCAGCTCACCTGTTGCTCTCTGGCTCCTTCTGAACAGCGGTTACAGGATGAATGGTTGCTGCCAACTTTTCCAGAATTAGTCCCTGCTCTGGTACTTTGTTCCAACGGGACAGAATCTGCGGATCCACTGTTACAGGCTGGATGGTTGCATCCAGCCTTGACAGCAGTAGTTGGGGGTCTCCTGCTCCAATCCCGGGCAAACTCCCATGTGAACAACACAACCTGGTTCCCAGGCTGGCCCCCTTCTGCTGCACAGCACTTGCACCTCTATGCTCTCCACTTCACACTCTCCCCTGTTGATGAGTCCAAAACACAGTATTTCCTAGTTGAAGCCAATATGAAAATGCCACACACAGTTTTCTGTGTAAGCTATTCAATACAGTGCCAAAAATGTATAATGATTCAACACTTGCAATACATTCTGTGCATCCACAAGTGTCCAAGTGTCTTATGGAGGTGGTTGGAGGAGTACTGAGGTTACTACTAAACAGAAAAGGGGAGCTACACAATCAGAGAAGTTTTTTAATTTAGGGGTTGAAAAATCTGTTGAGCATTTTTCACAAGGAGGAGTATGGAGTGGCACTGGAAAAGAAAGAACTTGTACCATATTCTTTATTATACAATTGTGGCTGCACAGATTGTATTGCAAGTTGTAGATCATTATACATTTTTGGCACTGTATCGGATCAATTAGACAGAAAAGTGTGTGTGGACATTTTCATATGCATTTCAACTACTGACAAATATTGGTTTTGGACTCTTTCGTTAGCACATTTTAACACTGTGAATTGCACTCATTTGAATTAAGATAATTCAAGCAGAAGCAAGTTGCTTTGCACATTGTATCACATGTTTTGTATTTTTTATGTAAATGTTTTTTTTGCGAGGTTTGATAAAAAATGTTGCACTTTATGGTATAATTTCTGACCACAATATTAAGTTACCAAAGCGTTACACTCTTTCCTTTCTATTGAGTAAATAGATACCAAACATGTCAAGCCTTAAAACTGGCAAAAAAACTACCCACAATCGTCCATAGGTAACAATTTAAAATCCTGTACAGTTCATTAGTTTAGAGTTAACAGTGAATGGTGGCTTTTATTGAATTATTGATCTCACTCAGGTGTAAGGGGCAATACTTAATAAAGTTGTGCTCAAATATTTGCATACCCTGTCAGAAATCGTGACATTTTGCCATTGATATTGAAAATATGATTATGCTAATAAACATTTATTTTATTTAAGGATAGTGATCATATGAAGCCATTTATTATCACATATATGTTTAACACCTTTTAAATCACATAAATCAGTATCCCCAGATACAGAGGTGAGCCATCCAGACCAGGCTCACTCTAACTTCTTTGGACAACCTTTAGCAGTATAGGTCAATTTATATAGAGGTAGCGATTTATTAGATTTATAAGTCAATCCAGAGGGTGGGAGGGGAGGATTCTTTCCATTTGAGTACCAAGGCTTTTTTAGCATAAAAAAAGAACAGTATCCGAAGTAAGTTTTTCTGTGAACCAGTCAATTCTTCCTCAGCAAAGTCACCCAGAATGCGCCTAGCTGGGAAGCGGATATTTGGGGAGCGCTAGTTTTTTCCTACAAAAAGTGGAGGACAGCAGGCGAAAAATTCCCAATTCTAGGACATGTCCAAATCTTATGGAAAAAATCACCTAGGTTACCATGACAATGTGGGCTTTCCAGAGAGTCTAATCTACCCATCTTAAATAAATGACTAGGGGTATAGTAAATTCTGTGAAAATATTTGAGCTGAATTAGTTTATCTCTGGCTGATATGTCCATAGAGAGCTGAGAATCAGTATATCTGCCCACCCCTCCTCAGTCAAGGATGGAATATCCGATTGCCATGCCTAGAAACCTTTGCCATCCTGATGGAGGAAGATTTTAGTGACATTAAATAATACCTAGAAATTAACTTAGAACGATCATCTTCAAATAGAAGAGCCTCCAATTTAGATATTTGAAGAGACACCTCCTTTACCCTAAACTGTACCACCACTGCATGGCACAGCTGCAGATAAAAGAAGAAAAACTTAATAGGGATCTCAAATTCCAATTGCAGTGATTGAAAAGGTTTAAACATTCGTTCAGAAAATAATTGGTGGGCATATTTAATGCCAAAATGTGCCCAATCGAGATATTGTAGATTTCCGGTAGCTGTAAGTTACACCATAGGGAAGCATTAGGCAAAGTAGTAAGTGGGGTGTAGACTGTTTTTGCACTTAATGTTTTTAATTTAAAACAATGCAAAAATGTTTTTGGACATGATGTCAACAATAACTGTCTGATGATCATCCCAAGCTTAAAGTTATAATCTAAAATCATTAGGTAGAAAAGACCCTATTTCATAACAAAAAAGTCGATCAGGTATGGACAGTTGAAGAGCTAGCTATCAGTCAGTTGTTGTGGACTGATAAAAAAGATTTTGGGGTGTAAAGATCCATGTACATAGGCTGAACACATAAGAAATTGTATTCCAGCACTGTAATTTGCAGAACTGCAGTTCTGGGGCAGTGGCAAAGTGCTTTAGAAGGTAACAATTTTGTCAAACAGCAGTGGGTTACTTAATTTGATTCTCAGCCAGGGCACTATCTACATAGAGTTTGCATGTTTTCTCTTTGCTTGCATTTGCATGTGGAAATTGCAGCTAGCAACAATTTGGTATGGGATTACATCCAATTTAAGAGATCAATGCCTTAAAGTTCTGCACTAATTGGTCTCTATTGGTCCATCTTTGCCCCATCAAAACCCCTTTTAAATATGGCTGCTTGGAACCCTGCTTTTTTAAAATGATGGGCTAGCACATAAGAAACCCTTCATGATTGGCCATTCTAAGCCACATGGCCTAAGTTCAGAGACCAGGAAGTACATTATTTTTTTTTGCGCTATGGCAATAAATGGCTGCATTACTTTGCCGGTTCTGTCAACTGCAAATGGGTTGGGTTATCTTTGCACATATCCTTAATCTAAACCCCAAGCTCATTCCTAATCATGATCAATTGCCATTTTTTAATAAATGACCGCTTTCACTCCTTTCTCATACTTTTTGTATCTCAGCACTGCTAATCTCCACCAGTGTCTTCTCATCTACACGCATTTGACACCAGTGGGCCAAGCCTTTGAAATGTGTATGGGCTTGGCTGCTGGTTGTCTTCATGTGAAGCCTGTATGACACGTAATTGCAAAGGAGCACAATTTAGAGAAGAAGTGGGAATAAGTGCCTAAATAAGGCCATTTATGGAGGGTCACCATGCACTAAAAATGACTAGCAGCATTCTGTGTATACTTAGTTGAACAATGTTTCAACATGCAGGGCTTCTATAGCATGCTAACAGGAAAATACTTCTGTAAGAGTTCTCACGCTTATAAAGGAAGAATGAAAAAAAGATTTGAGGTATCAGCCATTAAGATGCTTGGTAATAACAGTCACACTCACAAATAATGTGAAAGAAAATAAATATAAGACATTAAACACCAAAAACTAAGTGGTGAAATGAAAGAGGTGTTCTGTCAAATGATCATTATCTGTGATTTAAATTTAAATATAATGTAACATTTTTAAGCATGGGAAGAAACATGTATGCAGGTTGAGGCTATTTTATACAAACACAGCGTCAAATGTGTTTATATTTAGGCGTTCCTATGACACAAAAATCCATGATGTCTACAAAATAAACCAGGAAATCAGGTGTTCAATAAATCAACAGATTACAGTGTTTTTATACTCCTAAAAGAAAGGTGTATGTGTTATTCTTGCAACACCTGCTATTATAGGCAGAATAGTCTAGTGGTGTCACAACTAATGAGCACAGCTTGAAGGTCTATAAAGGGTACTCCTAGGCATTTCCTATTTTTTTTTTTCATAGTTGTTTAGCAAAGACATATATATATTATGGTGACTTAAAGACTATACAAACCTTTTGCATATGTCCCTGTTGAGCTTACAATATAATGTTACCTCTATTGATAAGAAGGGGGACTAAATGAACTCTGTGAAGACCCTATGGCTCACATTGTCAATCTGTAATTTTTTTTTTTTAGGGTAAATTTTTATTATGTTTCAAAAAGGTATCATACAAAAACACAACAGCACAGATTTGCACATACGAGGATCAAATGAAGCAGTGAGTTACACCAAAAAAAGAGATCATAGTAGTATATTTGAGTGCGATGCACAGAGAAAGCATGAAAGAAAAGCAGCGTTCTGAGCATGGTGTTCAACCAGGTACACAAGTAAGAGAAACCAGGTTAACAACAAAACAAACCAAAAGAAAAACTAAACCACGCAGCTGGTAATAAGAGTACACAACTCCAGACTGTGTTCACAGAGAGTGTTTCATAATACATGACATACCCCAGTACGTCAGTATCAGAATAAAATAGATCATAAATCAGTATCCCCAGATACAGAGGTGAGCCATCCAGACCAGATTCACTCTGACTTCTTTGGACACCCTCTAGCAGTATACTGTAGATTAATTTATCCAGAGATAGCGATTTATTAATTAAATCAATCCAGAATTGGAGGGTGGGAGGGGAGGATTCTTTCCATTGAGTACCAAGGCTTTTTTTTTTAGCATAAAAGAACAGTATCTGAAATAAGTTTTTCTATGAGCCAGTCAATTCTTCCTCAGCAAACTCACCCAAAATACACCTAGCTAGGAAGCAGATATTTGGGAGCGCTAGTTTTTCCTCGAAAAAGTGAAAGACAGCAGACTAAAAATTTCCAATTCTAGGACATATCCAAATCTTATGAAATAACTCCCCTAGGTTACTATGACAATGTGGGCATTCCAGAGAGTCTACCCATCTTAAAAAAATGACTAGGGGCATAGTAAATTCTGTGAAAATATTTGAGCTGATTTAGTTTATCTTCAACTGATATGACTGTAGAGAGCTGAGAATCAACTATATCTGCCCACCCCTCCTCAGTCAAGGATGGAATATGCGATTGTCACTGCCTAGAAACCTTTTCCATCCTGGTGGATGAAAATTTTAGTAACATGAAATAATACCTAGGAATTAACTTAGAATGATCATCTTTAAATAGAAGAGCCTCTAATTAAGATGTTTGCAGAGACACCCCTTTAGCCCAAACTGCACCAACACTGCATGGCACAGCTGCAGATAAAAAAAAGAAAAAAAATATTGAGGATCCCAAATTTCAATTGATGTGACCAAAAAGGCTGGTCAGAAAAAAACCGGTGAACCTTTTCATAAAACAATAAAAAAAAAAGAAAAGTATTGGTGAGCATATTTAATGCCAAAATGTGCCCAATCGGGATATTATAAATTTCCTGTAGCTGTGGGTTACGCAATAGGAAAGCATCAGGAAAAGTAGTAAGTGGGGATCCACTTACCTTACGATTACACATATGAAAGATTTTGTACAACAATTTAAGAATATCTGCACATTCATTAGGACAGGGCCCATCCCTGTAGAGAACGTTAATCAATGCTTGAAAAGAATGCATGAGGGCTGTTTGCATGGCCACAGAAGCATTATCCAAAGTGGGGAAGAACCATCAATGAAGGTGTGTTAAAGTATCTAAATAGTAACACTGAACACTGAAGGTTGTGCAGGGCCAATCCACCACCCCAAATCGGCAAACGGAGAGAATCTAGGAGGGTTGGGCCCCCAAGGAAAAGAGGACAAGAGAGTATTCATATCCAGAAATACCCTCTTAGGTGCATATACAGGGGCATGCCAAAAGATATATAGAAATTTAGGAAGGTAAATAATTTTAAATAAGTTTTACTCTACCCAAGAGATTTAAGGGTAACTTGGACCAAGTACTAAAATTATCCTTTAAATGGGAGATAAGCGGGGAAAGGTTATTAGCCATATATGTTTCCAGGGGTAGTTGAACCTCAACCCCCAAATACCTAAATATGTAAACCATCAGCAGAGGAACATCTAGGGATAAAGAAGGGGTGTATGTATTGGCAAATGGAAAAACAATAAATTTACTCCAATTCACTTTGAACCCAGAAAAGCTACCAAACCTAAAGATAACTGATATAGTTGTGCCCAGAGATATGGTTGCATTGGCTAAATACAGAAGCATATCATCTGCATAGAGGGATTTTTTTTCCTCCAAAGTGTCAATCCAGCAGCCCCGAACATTAGGATCAGACATCAATAAGGCTGCTAGTAGCTCTATAGGGAGGGCAAACAACAGGGGTGACAAAGCCTGTTGAGTGCCGTGACAAATACCAAAGGGATCGATAATTTGAGTATGGACTCGTATACTAACCATAGGTCTGAAGTACAACAATATGACCCAGGCAATAAAGTTAGGTCCAAAACCCAGCTGCCCAAGGACTGCAAAAAGATATGGCCACTCAATAGAATCAAAAGTATGTCCAATGACACTACAAGTTTGGTGTCAGGGGTAGGGCCAGGGGTTTGTAAAATCTTAAATAATAGGTGAAGATTACTGGCCATTGAACACCTTAGTGGAAACCGATTTGGTCAGAGTTGATAATAGAGGCTATAATCTTGTTCAATTGTCTAGCCAAAGCTTAGATAAAATGTTGGCATCTACATTAATTAAGGAAATCAGTCTGTAAGATTTGCAGTATTTAGGGTCCTTGTACAGCTTTGACAATCAGGACAATTAATGCTTGGAACTCCCCTGTCAAAAGCATCTATATAGACCTATAAAAGTTTCTGAGCCATACATTTTTTATAAGTACAATACCATTCTATTGGATAACCATCCAGGGGTTTTATTTGGATGAAAGCGTTTCTATTTCATCCTTATTAATAGGTACGTCTAGGTCAGCGGTCACTTCCCCTGTTAATAAAAGTAAGTGGACCTGAGCCAAATATTGCTGCGCCTCCTCCACCTCATAATTGACTTGAGACGAATACAAATGAGAGTAAAAATATGTGAAAAACTGGGCAATTTCATGAGCAGAAGTGTGCAGAACCTGAAGATCATTCAAAAACATGCTGCTGCTGATAAAGAAGTTTTTTTTTAGTTTTTTTTTACCACCAGTAGTAGGTCAAGTTGTTGAGAATGCTCCCTCCAAGCTCTAAAGTTAGGATGGGTTTTTAATATACTCAAGTTCAAGTTGAGACTGCCTGTTCCTAGGTCCACACCTTCCATTCCCTATCAGATTTAAGTTGCTAAATTACATCAGAAATAGAGCCTCTGAGTGTAGCCTTGAAGGTATTCCAAGTAGTACTTAGAGGGACATATGTAGTGTTTTCTAGCCAGCAGTTACAGATAACAGAGTTGGTAGACATTTCAAAGAATTCTTCCTTTAGCCATAAAGGACTTAGCCTCCACAATTTAAATCCAGCTGGAAGCCCTATGGAAATAATAAGTGACAAAGGGGAGTGGTCTGAAATGGCCCTTGGGAGATATTGTACATCTACCACCCCAGAAAGAATATCAGAAGTCAAAACACAAAACTATACAAGAAAGAGTTTTGTATGTGGAAGAAAAGCAAGGATATGTTCAAGTCTTGGCATTTTTCCATCTCCAAGCCTCTACCAGGTTATATTTAGCAATACAAGTAGCCAAAGGGGAAGAAAATTTGACTTCCATTTTAAACTGGTCAAGCTCTGGAGAGAGTACCATATTCTGATCCCTAGCCAGATCTATCAATTCCCTCAACAGGGCATTATTAATCAAAATAACAACAATGACAAATCTCCCAAAAGGGTCAGTTACAATCATTTTAAGAGAGCAACAAATGGTCTTCGCAGTCAGGATGGAAACTCCTCTAGCATAATTAGAATACAGGGAATTTAAAGCATGGGCCACAAATGCATGTTTAAGGACCATAACCTTGGACCCAATAAGGGGTGTTTCCTGGAGAAAAACAAGATGAGGCTTGTGTTTTTGCAAACAATTAAATACCAGGGAACATTTAACTTTAGAATTGAAACCTCGAACATTCTAGGAGATAATATTAAGGTTTTGAATACAGTAAAATCGGAATAATGTATATAAAAATAAAAAGGGGAAAAAAAGTTAAAAAGGAAATGCTTCCAGGCAAGCATAAAATCACTCTGTGCGGAGAGTTCAACAAGAAGATCACATACTGTTAATGACTATCAAAAAGGAAAAAATACCAGCACTGCAGAACATAACGACTAAAGATCCAAAAATGGGGATCACATACCCAAAAAACCCACCCACA